TCTTCTTCTTCTTCTTTTTTATATAAAAGTGATATTTTTCTTATATCCCTACTATATATATCTATATCAGAGTGGTGAAGAAATGAAAATTGCATGTTACAGTAAATTTGAAAGTAGTGTACAATAAAATAAAATATATATCAAGCAAATGGCATCGTTTTTGGCCCCCAATTGAAAAAAAAAAATAAAACAAAAATGCTACAGTAAAGATGAATCAACACACTGTTGTTTTCTACAGTGCTCTCACATTCCCCTTTTTATATAGTAGGGATATATTTTCTATTTTGGAGTGAACTGATTTTTGTAATTTTGTGAAATGATTCTCATTTCTCAAAATTTAACGTCAATTATATGAATTATCAAATTGTTCTAATAAATATATGTCCATTTTACTATAGTTTGATATCCAATATCGCGCATGAACAATATTACAATTAAATAATTGACCAAAGTATACTTTAACATATGAGTAAATCAACCATAACTATACTAATTCACACAAAATATTATAACATATACTCATTTGTAAAAAAAATAATATATATATATATATATATATAATAATAATAATAATAATAATAAAAAAATTAAATTTAAAATATATATATATATATATATAACGGACAAAGTGATTGTAATTGGTTTTGAAAAGTTGAGATTGATAGAAGGAAATATAATAAAGTGGACGTGATAGTAAACAACATCCTGCCACAAGATAAAACTATTCTTCGCGGTAAGAACTATGGAGAAAAATTATACGAATATAAACAACTTAAAATTGAATTACTTTTAATTTTTGTCCATCAATTTTGCAAGATATTAATTTCATCCTTAATTAAAAAATGATGTGATCATTTCATCCTTAATCTCTCATTCAATCTACACGTTAATTTCATTATTAAAAAAAAAAAAAAGTTAATATTTAGTTATTTAAATTTGCTATGTAATTGTTGAATATTTATGAAAATTTTCAATAGGCATTAATATATAAATTAATGAAAAGTAAATTATAAATAGTTTCATGCCAGCATTACTAGTACTTAGGTCAATTATGAGTACTTGTTTAATTATCATAAGTTATCAATGTTTGCCCAATTAGAAATGTTCATTGCCCTCTCATGTTGCGCTTGTTCTTTACTATCTATCTCCTCATCAATGACATTAGGGAAATCGAGCGACTCGATTTCCTTGAAGGACTTCAAGGTGGCAAATTGACTTTCATAGTATTCTTTCTCACCTGATAAAAGATAAAGTCGTGTGAATTATTGAGAAAGACGAAACAAGCTCTACATTCGACCTAGACAGATAACTCTCTCCTAATTGAAGCTTGCTAATTTATGATTCAAAGTATGTTCAGTGAAAAAAACAAGGCTATCATGACAATAAATGACCAAGAATGTAGATTCAAACTTGGAAAAATAGTTAGTTGCAGTATGCAGAATAATAAAATGCAGAAATAAAATTTATCGACTGATTGAGTCTCGTGACAGCACGATGTTTTAAAGTGAAATTGTCCGTCGAATATAGAACACTGCCCATAATAACCTCCATAACCACATAGTACTAATCAAAATTTTGACTTCTTCAACATAGATGTCTTTCATAGAGCATTCAAGGAAATGCTGAGAGCTATTTATCTAAGCAAGAAAAGATCAAGCATTTTTGAGACACAAATTACAGTCCTGGAATCTCCTTGATTTGTTATATAATCTCAGAGTTCCTCGATATGCATTACCAGCGATAATAACAGCAAACTGCTCTTTTTATGATCACAACATTTGAATCTAAGGGTCCGTATTAGGGAGTTTATTGAGAATAGTGTGTTCTGGCTTGTGATCGCACTCATAATCGAGATGAACAAAAGCCCTTTCAACTTCAGCAAGCTCTTCAATCTTTATCTGCAATGATTCTCCAATTGCATGGGCTTTTATCAATGGCAAATCCTCTGGAAGCTCTATGTCCACCTATCGTATTGTTCAAAGTTAAAAATTGCATAAAACTATTTCTTGAATTCCTAAAAGACTTCACAAAAAGTGGTGTCGTTAACTGTTAAGGTTACTTCTTAAGGTTCAAGAGTGTGTGGAGAAAACCCACGTCGATTTATCTTACCTCAACAAAGTAGAGAACACCGAATGTGTAAGCGCGAACTGTATCAACCCGCTTTATTTTAGGACTGTGCCTTAGGACAAGATATGTGAGTTTCTGTAATACTTCTGGAGGAGCTGATTGTCCCACCAGAGAAACTGCAAGAAGAAGCAACGAGCAATTTGACACTTAGATGCGGACATCCCATGAAAAGTATTTGGAAAATACTGATAAATTTGTCCAGTTTTTGAATTAGTCTTACTGTCCTGTTATAGATGCGGACATCCCATGAAAAGTATTCGGAAAATACTGATAATTTTGTCCAGTTTTTGAATTAGTTTTACTGTCCTGTTACCATGCTAATAGAGGATGAGGAGAAACCTGCATTTTCCAGCACGGTTCCTGACCAATTTGAAATCGTATAGAAAGCAAGAAGTATAGCTCCAGAAGGATCAATCCACCAGTAGAATTTATCGCCCAAAACAGCAGCAATCAAACCAACCACATTTGTCACCACATCAAAATAATGGTCCTGATGTCATAGTCAAAGAATAGGCTGAGTACAAAAAAATGCTATGCATTCATTTGTTATTTGAAAGTTAAAAATTTAGCAAAAGACCTTAGCATAGGCTCGAACAATCTTGTTTCCAGAGCTTCTGCAGTAAATCCAAAGAACAAGTTTCACACCAGTGGCTGTCAGCATAATGACATACAACCAGATCAATTGATATGAACTCATCTTTCCTGAAGGTTCAGCTTTGATAAGTTGTTCTACAGCCTGTACAAGCACCTGAAAACCTGAAAGAAATAATACTCAACGCACAATCGTGATACAAGTTCTGTATAATAGTCACTCACTGCAAGTGATTATCAGGTTTTACTCAACTGGGCTTTTCATTGGGAAGACCTATTAAATACAGAGAGATATTCAATATCAATATCTAAGAGTAGACGAGAGGTGGCAACACTGCTTACCAAGGGTTGCCATGACAGCAGCGAAGATGATAATGCCTACTGGTTGCACTCTTAATTTTCCAATAGGATACTTGTAGATATTTATGCTTTTCATCGACAAGTGGGTAAACCATAGTATTCCCCCGGCCATAAGATCAAGCAATGAATCTAGAGTTGATGCTGCAATGGCCAAGGAGCCACTTTGGACCGTAGCATAAATCTGCAGTTCATTCGGATACTTGATTCAGTAACATAACTGGAAACAAGATGGAGTTGTAGCTCAACTTGATCAAGAGAATGCTATAAAACAATTCTATACTGCCGTTGTGCAGTGTGTAATTGTTGACTATCTGAATATGTACCTTAAATGCAAGCAGGAAAATGTTCGCCCAATTAGAAATGTTCATTGCCCTTTCATGTTGCGCTTGCTCTTGACGATCTATCTCCTCATCAATGACGTTAGGGGAATCAAGCGAGTCGACTTCCTCGAAGGACTTCAAGGTGGCAAATTGTCTTTCATAGTATTCTTTCTCACCTGGTACGAGATGAAGTTATGTGAATTATTGAGAAAGACGAAACAAACTCTACATTCGACCTTGACAGATAACTATCTCCTAATTGAAACTTGCTAATTTATGATTCAAAGTATATTCAGTGAAAAAACAAGGCGATCATGACAATAAATGACCAAGAATGTAGACTCTTACTACCGAGTATTTGTTTTTCCATTCTGTCTAACATTGACAAACTGAATAACCATAATCAAGTCGAATTTTCTGTCCAAGCAATCAAAGGAAACAACAATTCCCAAACGAAAGTGTCTATACCGTGACAAGACAAAACATGAATATGGCGTACCTTTTGCCAAAGCAGTTGTTGTAGGGAAATCAAAACGAAAAGGAGCCTCAGGATCAAGTCCTCTCCTTATTTTCTCAGGAAGTTTAGACAAGAAATCGCATCTAAGATCAACAAATTTACGACTATTTTCGCTGTTCAGCTTCGGTTCTTCAACGGACAACAATGGCGTTTTCACATCCATTGATCAATTCCCAAAACCAAAGCACAATCTCTTTAAGAATTTGTAATTCTATTCGATCAATATTTGGGAGGCTCGGGTTTCCTCGATAATCACAATCTTTATCGTTTCTTTTTTCAATTTCCAATTTCCGATACAGCAATCGGAATCACAAAACCTTGTTCATAAATCTCAAATTTCTACTCTCAGAACTGCCCTATTATCAGGATTTTCTTCTAACACGCATAAGGAGATACAATTTTGATATGCGAATAAATTCAAAAAAATCCCAAGAAAGCTTTACGCAGAAACAAATTCACCAGCTTGGAGGAGGGATTGAAATTGAAGAATTTTGTTGATTAATTCATTCAATATCTAGTCTGGAGAGATGCATCATGCATGCATCAATATTGCAGAGTGTGACACGTGGGTTTTAGAGAATCCGAGAACAAATTAGCAAAACCTTAATTATTTGACTGTCAGTGTCTGCATACCCACATGCAATAAGTCATCAATTTCCATTTGCAAATACAAGTCCATAAATTTCGCACTATTTATTTTCGTAAAACAGTCGTCTTGATTCCACCAGAATAAATTCATGTCCCAATTTTATTAAATTAAAAAAAATTATTAAAATTTGATTTAAAGTCAAAATTTAATTTCAACCACACATTTTATCAACTTCTGTCAAAATCTATTAAAAATTTAATTTTTATATAAATCAAATCGAGGCTATACTAGATTAGAGGTATTTTATATTGTTTTTATTATCTTAGAATTAAATTTAAAACGATTTCAAAATATGTCTTGTATTTATAGATTCGAAAAACAAGATTCAGCCCCCAGTGCATATCTCCAAGTGGTAAAAGGGGATGATGGAGAAATCCAGCTTTGCTTGAGGTTGTCGCGTCAAGGGTTCGAATCCTGAAATATGGATTTAGCTCTTGGGTAAGTGTAAGTGTACAAACAGCCTTCCACCCTGTATTCTTGGAGGCATAACCTGCGATTTACCTCTCTCACGATACTCTAGGGCAGGGGCAGTGGGGGACTCTCAAGGTTGGGGTTAAACCCTTTTTTCTTTTTTCTTTTTTTTTTTTTTTGAAAAACGAGATTCAGATCAAGTATCACAATTTGTAAAATGAGCCAAAAGTGCCAACTCATTTAATAATAATTTATAGGTAATTAGGTAAACCAATCTCAATTATAACGCTGACATTGTTACCTACCAAACTGAAGGCTCGATCACTAATTTTCAATGATTATAGGTAATTTAATAATTTATTGACGATCACATCAATACTTTTAAAGACAAAGAAAACGAAATAGACCTTTTTTTTTGGGGAGGGGGGGGGAGTGGGAAAAAAAATTATATGCTGCTGTATCATGAAATATTCATACTCTTGGGTTAAAAATGCATGGGAAAAGAATTGACGTCTTATTAGTCATTCTTCCTATTTTCACTTGAAAATTAAATGATTTTGATAAAGTCGTAAACGAAATCTCTAATATCATAAATAATTTAGAGTGAAGAATGGAAGACAAACAACTTGAAAAGTACAGTGACTATTCAAGAAAAATTTCAAGTTCAATGACTCGACTATCGATCTAAACCAATCTCTTCTTCAAATTAGATGAGTTGATCTGCACTTCTTCCTCAGTTATAGTGATATCTAAAACGAGATCGAAAAAGAAAAAGAAAAAACTGAATCAAGAGTAGAGTACTACCTTGAAGGAGGCCTTTCACAGTAGAGAGATCAACATTATCGACAAGATCCTCAAGATCCACTCCACCTTTCACTTTGTCTGGTAGTCTTCGAAAGAAATCACATCTCATTTGACTCAAAACATCGTTCCTTCCATAATAATTCAAGGGTTTCTTCAAATCTTTCTCACACTCCATTTTTATCAAAGATTGAAGAAGAATTCAATGCAAATCCCATTGTACACTTTTATTTTAAGCAAAGGACAGCTGTAATTTGTTTAACTTAATATGAGTGATTATTTTTCAGTCTGTTACTTCATTAAAAATTTAAATATGCAATTTAATACTGACAACGGTCTTCACCTAAGATTTAGTCGTCATTCAAGAAATTGACCATGCAGCGTCACTGCCCTGTTATTTATCAGCTAATTATTATTTTTTTTATTAGGCACAGATGCAGACATGTTGCAGCCCAAATTTTAGTTTCAAACATATACAGACAGGCCATTTGTAAATTTGGACAATTCTGTTCGAGAAGAATTTATAAATAGATAGAAACGAGTGGTGAAATAATTGAAATGCTAAACGATTAACTAGTGCCGATGAGGGATCTGGGGAAGCAAACTTTAATGATAGTGATTATAACCTTTGTTCAGAACAAACATGAAAACTAAAGAATCCCGACTCGAAGAAGCATCGACTGCTTGTTCAAGCTAGTCTCTTTTATCGTCTTGTTTCTTTTACATTTGTTGTAATGGTATCAACTAGGTTAATTCAGTGGCTCGGTTTGGCTCTCTACTGCCGGCCGTGGGAGGTTAGGGTTGGTCCCACTCATTAAGGCTCTTTATGTTTATGCTCATAGTAAGTTAAGTCCAGACCAATAAAAAAAGTGACTCCAGTTGTTTTCATTAAACTGTAAGAGCAATGCTATTTAGCTTTTTGAGATTACAATCACAATTTAGGTGGTGCTAATATAATATTAATTGATAGGTGAAAATAAATAACTCATTTAATTTCACATTCCATTTAATCTATCATCTAATGTCACTTAAATTGAAGTTGCAACTCTAATGAGACTACATAATATTACTCAAACGATAAAACTCTTGTTTTCATCAAAAATAAAATTTTTCATAAAAGTGAAAACATAGAAGGAGTACAATTCAACAAATAAACTTATAGTCCTCTAAATGGTACACGAATGCAGCGTGCTTTTAGTCTCCTCATTGTATTCCTAGGAATAAAAGCAACGCAGATCACTACTCACATTTCCCAACAATGTAGGGACACACTTGAGACCTCAGGGCCCGAGTCAAACTCTAAATATCCCTCAATCGTAATGTGCATTCAAATGAATTTCGTTCATGAGAATATCTTAGATATTGAAAAATAAATGAAAATAATAGTTACTTATGCACATATATATAAAAATAACGCGAACAAATTTACACACACTTTGCGGTGCAAACTTTGTCTCGTTTGAACATTTTGCACAACTTTCTTCGTATATGGTCGTCAATTCAACTAACTTTGACAAGATTTGTGTGTTAGAAAAAAAGAAAAGAATTTTATTTAAAAATTTGAAATTCATGAATATGTTAGTAATTAAAATGTTTGAAAGATTGGGTTAGTTCATTAGATAAAAGGAATTCCATGAGATGGCAATGCGAAAGTCTAAAATCTGCTACCTCAATTGAAAGTAATGTTAGCATGCAGCGTCACTGCTCTATTATTTATCAGCTAATTATTATTATTATTTTTTTATTAGGCACAGAAGCAGACATGTTGCAGCCCATGAAACAATATATAAATTTTAATTTCAAACATATACGGACAAGCCATTTGTAAATTTGGACAATTCTGATAAAGTTGAAATGCTAAACAATTAACTAGTGCCGATGAGGGATCCAACGAAGCAAACTTCAATGTTAGTGATTATAACCTTTGTTCAGAACGAACACGAAAACAAAAGAATCCCGACTCAAAGAAGCATCGACTGCTTGTTCAAGCTAGTCTCTTTATCATCTTTCTTCTTTTACATTTGTTGTAATGGTACAACTTGGTTGAGCCTCTTGTTAATTCAGTGGCTCAGTTTGGCTTTCTACTGCCGGCCGTGGGAGGTAAGGCCTCTATATGTTTATGCTCAGCGTATGTGAAGTCCAAACCAATAAAAAAATGACACTCCATCTGTTTTCATTAAACAATAAGAGCAATGCTATGTAACGACCCTCAATTGGTACCATAATTCAATTTAAGTCTTACTTAAGGGAAATGTTATGAGTTCGAATTCTAGAGGACGCGACAGAAAGTAGTGAAGGGCAAGTGGGCGTAAGGCCCATCCAAAACGGACAGTACGTAAGCTAACGGTTTGGATACAGAGACCCAGATCGTTACAAAAGACGAAGAAGGAATTGGAGTTTTTTCTCTAAATTTTTTGTTGGAGCCATGATTTGAAACTTGGACGGTAAGAAAATATTTTAACTTCACAACCATTATGACAAGTGATGATCATTTTTTATTTTTTTTAACTCTTGGCAGATATTTGATTACTTCAAAGTAAATGTTATAATGCAATAAACAACAATTATAATTTATAATTGAACAGAAATTACACTTATTTTGATTAATCATGCAATTAAGCCTCCTTTAAAATATTAAGTAAAAGATTATTGAGAAATAAAATATTTCAACAGGTTACACAAAATAAATTCAACTAATTCTCAAAATATCAAAATCGTAAATATTTAACGGACTAGAAAATAAAATATGTATTTTATTTTATATATACATATATTTTCCCGATCTCCAGAAAGGTAGAACTGGGCTCTGATATCAAACTGTAACGCCCAAAATCCACTACAAATTTTACTTATTTATTTATTTAATTTTTTTAAAAAGATTTGAAGTGTTACCAAAATCCTTCTTTTATAGTTTAAGCGGAATTTAACACTAATGTATAAATTTTGGTATTAAATCAATAAGATGAATTCGACAATTTCCTCAATTGGTATCAGGATTCAACTTAAGTCTTATTTAAGGGAAATATTATGAGTTCGAATTTTAGGGGACGCAACAGAAAGTCATAAGGTGCAAGTGAATGCAAGACCCATCCAAAGCGGACAGTACGTAAGCTAATGGTTTGGATACAGAGATCCGGCCTCCGGGTCGTTATAAAAAAACACGAGTTTTTTTTCATAAGAATGAACTATAGTATGGATTAATTTGCTTAATTATATGTTAAGGAAATTGTCAGGCTGCATAGAATTCCAACATCCATCGTTTCAGATCGAGACCCAAGATTTACATCTAAATTTTGAAAGAGCATGTAGGGAGCTATGGGGACAGAGTTAAATTTCAGCACTGCCTACCATCCTCAATCTGATGGACAGTCTAAAAGGACTATTCAAATCTTAGAAGACATGCTCCGAGCACGTGTCTTGGATTTGGGAGGTAGTTGGGAGTCAAACCTATCATTAGTGGAGTTTGCATACAATAATAGCTTTCAAACTACTATTGGCATGACTCCTTATGAAGCTCTCTATGGTAGAAGATGTCGATCCCCAATTCATTGGGATGAAGTCAGAGAAAAACGAATTTTGGGTCAAGAGATTATTGCAAGGACAGTGCAAACAATTGATAAAATTAGGGATAGAATAAAGTCTGCCCAAGATAAACAGAAGAGTTATGCAAATCAACGGAAAAAATTGATAGAATTTGAAGTCGGTGAGAAAGTATTTCTAAAAGTGGCACCCATAAAAGGAGTTCTTATATTTGGCAAGAAGGGAAAGTTGAGATCTCGATTCATAGGTCCTTTCGAAATTCTAGATAGAATTGGGAATGTAGCGTACTGTCTAGCATTGTCACCTAGACTATCAGCAGTACATAATGTATTACACGTGTCGATACTTA